TAGTTGGTTTCATACAGTCTTTTAGTTGGGTTCATACAGTCCTGTAGTTGGGTTCATACAGTCCTTTAGTTGGGTTCATCCAGTCTTTTAGTTAGGTTCATACAGTCCTGTAGTATGGTTCATACAGTCCTTTAGTTGGTTTCATACAGTCCTGTAGTTGGGTTCATACAGTCCTGTAGTTGGGTTCATACAGTCCTTTAGTTGGGTTCATACAGTCCTTTAGTTGGGTTCATACAGTCCTGTAGTTGGGTTCATACAGTCCTTTAGTTAGGTTCATACAGTCCTTTAGTTGGGTTCATACAGTCCTTTAGTTAGGTTCATACAGTCCTTTAGTTGGGTTCATACAGTCCTGGAGTTGGGTTCATACAGTCCTGGAGTTGGGTTCCTACAGTCATTTAGTTGGGTCAGTTATTTCATTGGTGTTGTTTGTTTCTTAATGCTGAGAGTTGAGCAGGTGGATGATCAGAGGGAAGAAGCTCCTCTTGCTCTCTTTGTTTGCTCTCAGGCAGTCAGTCCTCTGGTCTGATGACAGTAAAGCTGGGTTATAGTCTTCATAGTAGAGTAAAGCCTCACAGACAGACGCACTATCTGACTTGTGCATGGCACGCAACCTTTTTGGAGTTACAAATATGGAGGTGCATTACACTGCTTGGGGGGAGGACGATTGGGTCAGCTAGAACCCTAGCTTAAGGATCAGGAGAGTCCTGCCTCCTCAAAGGTGCACCTGCTGTTCCCAGTCCAGGTCAGTAGGTCCCCACTTAAAGGTGCAAGTAGTTTACTAGAACCCCCTTGAGGCCAAGTGAAGACCTGCTCCATGGCCTCCTCCACTCCTCCCACGCCTCAGGAGCTGCAGTCCTTCTGTAGACCCGTCTGCTGCTTCAGGGCTTCTTTGGAGCTCTAAAATTTAAAGTCCTCCTCCTCCAGGTTGATGTCTGGTCACCAACAGGTTCTTCAGTTGTAAGGCTTCCAGACCACCACTCCCTGAAGCAGCATCCTCAGCATGGCACTCATATCCCTGGTCCTGGATCTCCTCCAGGACATGTAAAGACCGCCTCTTGTAGCTGAAGGTCTGCTGCATGTTTGAGCACAACCAGGCTCTCAGATAACAAGCCCARTTCTCTCTCCTTCTCTGAAAGCCTTCAGAATTGAGAGCGAGCCGGAATTGCTGGACTGAGCWGTGATCAGAATCACATGTTGTTTGTTGGAGAGCTGGACTCAAACATACTTCTGTTTTTGAGCCAAGGCAGCTTCAGAGTCATTTACTCATCAGTCATGTGAGCAGAAAGAAGTGGTGTTTGTGGTTGTAGGTTTCTGTCAGGTTCTGATTAGCCCCTTTCAGGCCTCAGGGCCTGGCTGGTCCCAGGCTCACCAGAACTTTTATTAATACCCAAAGTTTAGCTCATTAGCTCAGACTCTGTGTGGTGAATAAAAATAAGTGTTTTAAATAATAAAAGTATGATCAGACATGGTTATGTGTATTAAGTGAATATAAAGAGATGAGCAGTTGCAAAAAAAAAAAAAAAAAAATGTAGAATTTAAACCATCATCTGTAGATGTACGTCTAATTATTTCTTTCCTCGAGTCAGTGAACTTTGTCCAGTGACTCTTATGATATTTTTCTAACAGAAAGACAGGCTTGAGTTTTGTGTCTGGTGGGAGGGCAGTGGTATTTATTGAACCAACATGTTAGCCATCATCAGTTAAAACGTGCCGTCTGATACTTCTCTTTCTTTGGCTCCAGAGAAGTATTGTTTGTTTGAAATTACACAATAAATGATCTTTTGTACCAAAGAACTGCAACATGTTTACAGTTGGAAGCTGAGTGTTTCTGCTTGTCTCGTTGTGAGTTCCTCTGTGGTCAGCTGAGTTCCAGCGCACCAGCACACTGTGACAGACTGGATCAGCCCTCGACCAGCTTTAGTTTATGATGCTTTGCAGTAAATGAGGAGGAAAAACCTGGTAGGACAAAGAACCGAGGCAGTGCTTTGTTTATTTATTATTATTCTCTTAATCTGACCGTAAAGATACTTTATCTGTCATCAGTGCGTGTTCCCATAAGATCTGTGCTCTGACCCATCACATGTGGAGCAGCTATGTGAGCGCCCAGGGAGCAGTTAGGGGTCTTTCTCAAGGTCACCACAACATGTGGGCATGGCAGGGAGTTGAACCTTGACTTTCTGGTCTCAAGTCGGCTGCCCTCTGCACCACAGCCATGATTGCCTAATGCCTGCCGCTGAGGGAAAAGGGGCGATAATGTTTTTGCCTTTGTCTGCAGAACATCCTACAAGCTGCTGTGATTATTGGCTGTCCATCTACAATGAACTTATACAGTCACACAAATTCAAGATGGCCGCCACAGCTAATCAAATTAACCAACACAAACATAGGCTGTGTCCAAAACGGCAGGACGGGTCCTCCGAAGGTCGAATTTGTCGGCCGCATACGTCACAGCGCTGCGACGAAGGACGTCCAAAACGGAAGACTCCTCCGATGTGTCCGACAAATACGTCCTTCTTTTTCCCCAAATCGAAGGACAGGTCCGATGGATCCTTCCCGGCCCAGCATATCCCATAATGCATTGCGGCCCGACCGGAGATTTCTTTAAGCTAGTAATGGCGGACGAAGCGAGAGAAAAGAATACATTTTAAATAAAAATGTGGTGATTTAAAAATTAAAAAAAATTAGCGGTTGTAATTCTAATACTTTTATCATTTGTATGGACGTGTTTTTAAATATTATTTTTTCGTCATAAAAAACGCGAAATAAACATGAACCTACAGCGGGTCAATTAGTTCTTCAAATGATACTTTTAAGTTAATTTTATAGTTTTGTGATATTAATAATGCTAATATATTGATATTTTTCTAGTTTTGATTTAAGTTTGCTTGTTTAGCGTCGTCACAGTTGCTAGGTGACAAGACGTACGCCGGGGTAAGGAGGGGAGGCTAGACCGTCCAAATCCACAGCCTCTTTTTTTCCGGTCTTCCCGGTCTACCAAGGACCCAGCCTGCCGAGACTGGGGAGTCTGGGTCCTCCGGAGGACCCGGCCTGTCGTTTTGGACACAGCCATAGCTTTAACTCAGCTAATTTTACAGATATTTAGCTACAGTTTGGTGTGGTTGTAGCTAAAAGTCATTCTGAACAGATGTTCTGAGATCTGAACATCTCCAGTTGATTAAATAGGCTCTAACTTTGTTCCTTCTGTGTGTAAAATGATCCTAATGTAAAACTCTGMCATGAAAGGTGGCGAGGAATATGCATCCCTCCATATAAAGGTAGGTTTTTAACAGAATGGAGCTAAAAGATCCAGTTGGACAACAACATTCACAGAATATCTGCAGTCATTAGCAGTGCAGTGCTTCAGTTTCCTGCTTTGGCTCTCAGAGGCGTGCTGTTTTATCACTTTACTTCTGAACACATTCCAACAATTTGTGCAACACATCTCTCAAAACAGCCATAACTGTCATGATTCTTGTTTTATGGTTCTTTTTATTATTTTTGTTTCATTGTTTGGTCATCTTGTGTCTTATTTTTCTCATTTCCTGTTAGTTTTCTTCATTTCCTGTGTCATGTTATCCTCAGTAGTTTCTTAGTGTTTTTCCATCCTGCCCCACTCACCTGTCCATAGTCAGTAATCACCCAGGTGCTCCCACTGCCCAATCATCCTCAGTATTATTTAACTTGTCTCTTGTCTCTATTGCTCCAGTGGATCATTGACTTTTCATGCCTCAAGCCTTGTCTTCATCCATGTTTTTTTTATCATTGTTATCTTTAGTATTTTGCTGCCACATCAACCTTTTTCTTTTGTTTAATAAACTAGTTTTTGTTCTCACCTTGAACTTTGAGTCTGCCTGCACTTTGGGTTCTACCACACAACAAATCATGATAACGACATCTTAAACCCTTTTTTTCTAACTATCTCAAGAGTGCTACAGCGGGTTTTGAGTAAAGACAGCTCTTAAGCTTAGATGTGAAAGTCTCAACAGTCCGAATGCAAAAAGGTAAAACATTCCACAGGTTTGGGGCAGAAACTCCAAAAGCCTGATCACTTCTGAGTTTTAGCTTAGATCTAGGAACATCTAAGAGAAACTGGTTGGATGGTCAAAGTCCTCTAACTTGAGTGTGGATGTTAAGGAGATCACAAAGGTGTGGTGAAGCCAAACTTTAAAAGTAAGCAATAAAATCTTAAAATATATCCTAGAGCAAACAGGAAACCATTGGAGAGAAGCCAGAACGAGAGACGTTTATTTTTAGTACCTGTTGAAAGACGAGCTGCTGCTTTCTGGACAACTTGTAATCGATTCAGAAAAGATTGATCTAAACCAACGTACAAAGCATTACAATAATCTAACYGCCATGTGATAAGAGTATGGATTAGAGGGTCTTTGGTTGGGAGCTATGACTTCACCTTGGCCGTGCGTCTTAGTTGGAAAAACCTGTATTTTACCATCTAAATATCTATTGAAACTAAAGAAAATAAAACCTAAATTCCAGACAACAGAGCAACTGTATGAAGCCAAGGGACCAGGATTGTCAAAAGAAATACATTTCCCAAAGCTGATGATGTCAGAAATTCAGTGTCAACCAGATTTTTTTGTATTTCACACATTGTGGATTAATGGACATCTAAACCTGAATGCCATCATCAAAACAGTGGAGAGGAATCTTTATTTTGTATAAATAGACCCCAAAGGCAGCATGTAACGATTAAAAGCCAGAGGAACTAGAGTCGAGTCTTGAGGTACCCCACAAGTCAGAGGAGCTACAGAAGAGGAGCATTCTTCTAATGAACAGACAGATCCTATTCATCATGTAGGACCTAAACCAGGATCAAACTGTGCCTTTGACACCAATCAACAATAAACTGATTAGTTTTTCAAGGATAAACAAATATTAATAGATTGATCAATCACACAAAGTATTATTTATCTAAGTAAATTGTGCTGCTGTCTGCCCACAGGCTCCCCCGGCTCAAGAAGAGGAACATACAGCCAAGGTAGATGTCAGCCTGAGCTCTGTTCTTATATCCTCTTCAACAGGGAGATAAAACATTTATATATTTTATTTCCATTCTTTTGCTGACCAATATAATCCTACTGACTGAGCATGATGTTCTGTCTGCTACATGTTGTTTCTGCTGCTTGGTTAAAGTACAAAGAACCTTTTAACAGATACAGTTTTGTTATTTTTCACTGTTTAGTCCAACTGCTTAACTTTTTTCCTCAGTTGTATGAAATAATACATTTGTTACATTGACATTTTTAAACTATGTGTGTGTAGCTACACTTTCAGGGATGGCACCAACAGTGCACAACCTTTATCAACTGAAAAATGTACAATTGTGGTTTAATACCGAAGGAAATACTGCAGTAAAACTGATCTGTTTTATCTGCTACACAGTTTGTTGTGAAAGTCTGATATATAAGATGCTGAATTTAAGTTAGACATCAAACCTGTTTATTATAAATAACTGCTGTTTTTTTTTTTCATTTGAAAACAACCTAAAATTTGCTGTGAGATTAAAAATAACAGAAGAAATAAAACCTTACTGTCTTTACTTCTAAATGCTCAGTAGTAACATACGTTATGCTGCAACCACCACACGTCTGTTTGTCCACGTTATGTTGGTCTTATATTTCAGGACAGTCAATAAAAATGTTCATCAGGGGCCGGCCCATTACCATGTACATCCCCTCCAACATCCAGAACTACGATGAGCTGAAGATGGAGGAGCCCTCAGAGAGGCTGAGGCTGGACTGGGTGTATCCTTTCTGACCGCCACAAGGTTTCAGCTCTGAGTTCAGACTGAACTTTTCCTGGAGCCTTGTCTTCAAACTCTGCTGATTTTACTGTGCTGCTGGATTCAGATAAAACACTGTTCTGTTGCAGAACCTACAAACGATTCAAACCACCTTAACTTCTTCACTTCTTTTTGTCACATTCCAACCATGAACATAAAGTATCTTCCTGGGTTTTTAAACAAAGCACAGGATAACTGTACCGGTGAAGGAATATAATACAGAATTAGTTTACTTCTTAAAGAAATACAAATCTGAAATGTGTGCCATCCTCAAATTAAAACAAATCCCAATCTCTGAGCATGTAGAGGAGCTCTATTCAAAAAATCCCACTTCAACTTTGTCAGACACTGTTCAGCATCCAGTTCAATAAAATCCTCAGGTAAACTATTAAATATTTCAGAGATTAGTAATGAGTTCTTATTGTGGCTAAATCCAGTTAGATGTTGGCTTTCTAACTGAGGGTAAACTTTACCAACAGCTTGAGGGAAGCATTTAACTGGCTGATGAGATGAGATGAGATGAGATGAGATGGGATGGGATGGTATGAGATGTGATGTGATGGGATGGGATGCGATGTGATGAGATGTGATGTGATGGGATGAGATGGGATGTGATGGGATGAGATGGGATGTGATGAGATTTGATGGGATGAGTTGAGATGAAATGTGATGAGATGTGATGTGATGATGGGATGAGATGGGATGTGACGAGATGAGATGAAATAGGGTGAGATGTGATGGGATGAGATGTGATGGATGTGATGAGATGAGATGGGATGGGATGAAATGAGATTAAATGAAATGGGATGTGATGTGATGTGATGAAATGGGATGAGATGAGATGAGATGAGATGGAATGGGATGAGACGAGATGGGATGGGATGAGATTTGATGTGATATGATGTGATGAGAAGTGTTGAAATGGGGATGAAATGGGATGAGATGAGATGAGATGGGATGTGATGAGATGAGATTTGATAGGATGAGATGAGATGAGTTGAGATGGGATGTAGAGAAACCGTCATGAGTTGACTTTCACTGCGTCATGAATCAGGCTTTTTAGCTCATCATACACTGGTTTTATAGTTAAAATCAGGTTAACAACTCAAAACCACAGCATGCAAAACTGTGATGAGATAAGATGAGATGAAATGGGATGAGATGAGAAGATGAAATGGGATGAGATGAGAAGATGAGATGAAATGGGATGAGATGAGATGTGATGTGATGAGATAAGAGGGGATGTGATGAGATGGGATGAGATGAGATAGGAACTGATGAAATGTAATGTGATGAGATGTGATGAGAAGAGATGTGATGGGATGAGATGAGATGTGATGGGATGCAATGAGATGGGATGAGATGGGATGTAATGTGACGGGATGAGAGTCTGCTCAGAGGTTTCTAACGATCACCTTTTCCAAATAAATGTGTGCAACTATTCACTTTGTTCTTTTATATTTTAGTGTAAAGGTGAAGGTTGAAAGTGTCTTTGGGAGGGGGATTTGCATGGATAGGGTGGTGCTCAGCTTGGTAATAAGAAAAGGGGGCTTTGAGGAGAAGAGAGGAACCGTTTTGATTAAAACCTTTTCAGGTGATGTAACAGCACAGTTAAATACCATCAATCACTTCCTTCTACTTCACAGTTCTGTTCTGGGATGTAAAATCTCTGTAAAATGTTTAGTAGCTTGTGGTTCAAACAAGGGGGCCACCGACTACAGTTTTCAGGCCTTTAAAAAGTCTCACCTGCTGATTCCAGTTTTAAATATCTGACTCTGTCACGTGTTATAAGGTCACAATCCTTCAGTGTTCCAATCTCATTTGACTGAAAAACACTGCAGGACCCTTGAAACAATACAAACTCGTCTGAACCGGAGAGCTCAGGGCAGAGCAGAAGAGGACAGGAGGATTTTCAGACCTTTGTAGATGTAGATCAGGAGACAATCTTTCCCATCAATCTTATCCCAGTATAGGACAATCTCCCAAAATGATGGAACTTGGTGCTGAAAACTCACACAGCCAATTTATGGGTCCTAGTTGTAACATGAGAAAATGTAGCAAAGCTCAGGTAGTATAAAAATGTAGTGATGAATGTGTTGCTGTGAAACATTTAGAGGCAGTTTCTTACTTCCTGTGTAAACCTCTCAGTGATGACACCTTGACCCTGTCATGCCAGCTATGGTTACCGGGGCCGGGACTGCCGGGCCAACTTGTTTTTCCTTCCAACAGGAGAGGCGGTGTACTTCATCGCCTGTGTCATCGTGCTTTATCACATCAACAACCGCACCCAGCGCCACTATCTCAAACACACAGACTGCGTCCGCTGGTCAGCAGGGCAGAATGAGCCGCTTTCATTCTTAGAAATGAAAAATACAACTTTTCTATTGTAATGAAAAGTTAAATTATTGCTCTTTGAGCCCTTTGGGTACAGTTAAAGGTTGGTTTTGTTTTTCAGTCTCACCCTTCATCCTGACAAAGTGCGAGTGGCTTCTGGTCAGGCAGCAGGCATGGACAAAGATGGAAAGGTGACAGCTTTTATTCCTCAAAATAAAAATGTTGCCATTAATAACATAAACTGCATGGTGTAACTCACTGAGGAAGACTCAACACAAGAAGAATTCATGAAAACTGAAGGTTTGAACTCTGGGTTTAAAATCACTCCACATATGAAATGAATTGAAAACAAACTTATTGAACACGAATTACCGGTATATTAAATCAGTTTATTCTGTGTTAGAGGGGTGTGTGGCCCCCCGGTGCTTGGATCTGACAGCTTCTGATGATGATGTTGCCTCTAACTCAGGAAGCTCAGGAGCCTCGTGTTCACAGACTTACAGTCAAATCAAAGAAAGAAATCCAGCTGTATGAATCTGAGCATTCCCTTTGTACACCCTGATAAACATGGAGTAAAGAGCACAGATACCTGCTTTGACACGCCTCTGTTTAAATATTTAAATCTTAGATTCTCTTCTCTCTTGATCAGCATCATCTTTACATGTAGAGGAACAAAGAATTAGAGGTTATTCAGACCTGACAATTTGCTCCGCTTTAAACAAACCAGAGTTTGTTTCCAGCGTTAGTCTGGACCATTTCTGCAGGTGTGAATACACTCATGCGAACTCTGGTGCGGATCAAACAACCGGACCGAGACCCACTTTTTGAGGTGGTCTCAGTTCGTTTCCAAACGAACTCTGGTGCAGTTCACTTTAGTTCACTTCTGGTGTGAATACAGACCAGACTCGAACCGAACCAACTGCATTAAACATGCACCTTTTTGGACTTCACAGGCCACCGTTGCTGAGCTAAATAAACTGAAAACATACCTGTTTCATCGTCTCCTGTTAGCAGCTCTACTGCAGCAGATTACACTGAGGCCGAGGCACTTCCTGTATCAAACATATAGTTTGATATGGTTTGATTGGTCGTAGAAAATGGGTCTGAATCCTATTTTARCTTGTTCTAATGAGGATGTATTGATGTCATTTTAAAGAGAAAACCTTAAACCTTATGTGGATATCAGGATTTCCCAGCTGGTATAGAAAAATATCTTAGCCATTGTTCAAAGAAAGTAGGGAAAATTGTGGTGTTTTCTGCTCAGCATCCTGGTTAACTGTTGGTACGGCTCAGAACAATGGAAACGTTCTTCAAGGGACCCATTAAGAAGATGTTTATTTGTCATATTTTGACTAAATCCAGAAAGTGCAAATGTTCAACTAATGCACTATAGTTGCCTAAAATCTCCCCACCTTGTGAATTATTCCTTGGTTTGATTCGACAGGTTCCTTATTAATGTTGTTAAAGTTTGATTTTTCCATCTGGGATATTAAGAAGAGATGACGTGAACAAGGTTAGTTTCTCACTGACAGTTGATAGAAACTCATCTAGCTGGGCTCAGATGAACTGAACACCCTGACTTTGGGTTTAACATAGCTGTCTTCAGAGTTGTTCCATCATTACCAGTTTCCTCAACCGGATTCCTTTTATTCCTATCAGTTTGATCAGGTGACTCTGATTCATATGAATCAGTATTCAGCACGTTCACTTTGCTATAACCTGATGATTACACATTCAATTTAAACTCTTGTGCATTGTGCTATTAATAATTTGAAATGAGTGTCATTGTATTAAAGGGAAATGCTGTGTTTGTGCGTTTTGCTGCAGCCTCTGCTGTCATGTGTTCATATCTGGGACTCCACCACCCTGGTCACCCTGCAGCAGATCGGCCTGGGGACCTTCCAGAAGGGAGTGGGATCGTTGGCGTTTTCCTTTGCTGTAAGTTCACCGCAACATCCTAAACAAAGGATTTACTACAAACTCAGCAAGAACTGTGTAAAATGTTGGAAAAAGATTAAACTCAGACAACAAGAAAAGTCAAAAGTGGAGTAAATTCAAAATCACTTTTTCCTGTTTTTTGATTTTATTCAGCATGTGTGCAAATAAATGGTTCTGGTTTGCTGAACGCTTATGGTGCGTTCACACCAAACGCGATTTCAGCGTCAGGAGCAGCAGGTTTACATACAAAGTCTATGGTGGAGGCGCTTCAAGCAGCGTCGGGAAGTTCTGCGGCGCCTCAAGCGCGATTAGAGCAGCGCGA